ACAACCCATTAGTATAGTGGGTCTCAACCTTCCTAATGCCGCGACCCTTTAATACAGTTCCTTATGTTGTGGTGACCTCCAACCATAAAATTATTTTCGTTACTACTCTATAACTGTCATTTTGCTAGTTATGAATCGTAATGTAAATATCTGATATGCAGGATGTATTTTAATTGTTACAAATTGAACATAATTAAAGCATAGTGATTAATCACAAACAATATGTCATTATATATTGTGAAATATTTATTTCTAATTACAAATAAATGAAATTTTGTCTTGAAGCATGGAGACGGATAGAGGAGCGGTGTCTCAGTTCCTATGACCATCGAAAATATGTGTTTTCTGATGGTCTTAGGCGACCCCTGTGAAAGGGTCCTTCGACTCCCAAAGGGGTCACGACCCACAGGTTGAGAACCGCTGCATTTGTAGAACCCAGCACATGGCCACACCTAACGTTAAGGGAGGCTGGGAAACGTAGTCTTTATTCTGGAAGGCTGAAGGCTCAGGCAAACTCTTTTTTGCTACAAAATAGGGGTCATATAGCAGGTGAACAACCACCCACCTCTGCCACATCAACTGTACAGATTGAGAGAAAGTTGATGTGAAATATTAATGGAGAAAAGAAGCGAGAGAAGAAGCAGTTAAAAAGCCAGTTTGAATGGAGTATGTAAAGAAGTCAGAGAGGAAACGGTGTCTTTGTTGAGCGGAGCTGTGACAACCCTTTACTTGGGATAAGAGTATCATCTTGTCTTAGAATGAAGTGGAGAGAAGCAACCTCACTCCAGGTCAGGCAGTCTCACACTGGTAAATTAAATGACGCAGAGGACTGAATCAATGACTTAGAAGAAAAGGTAGCAGAGAGTACCCAATCAAAATAGCAAAAAGAAAAAAGAATCCAAAAAACGAGGGCTTAAGGGGCCTCTGGGACAACCTTTAGCATACCAACATTCGCATTATAGGGATAGCAGAAGGAGAAGAGAGAACAAGGAATTGAAAAACTATTTGAAGTAACAATGACGGAAAACTTCCCTAACCTGGCAAAGGAAATAGACATGTTTCCAGGAAGGGCAGAGAGTCCCAAACAGGATCAACACAAAGAGGCCCATACCAAGACATCATAATTAAATGCCAAAGGTTAAACACAGAGGAAATCTTAAAAGCAGTCAGAGAAAAGCCGTCCTTTCAAAAGGAGCGCTGGTCCAGCCGCCCTTCATCTCACTCAGCTACAAATCTCCACTGGTTTTCACAATCAGAAATTATGGGGACTTTTCCCAGGCACTGGAACCCTGGGCTGGGGTGCCTGGTGTGGAGCTGGGACCCCTTGCTCCATCGGAGGGGAACTCCTGTCCCGATTTTTAATGGTCACAAGCAGGTGTGAGACCATTCTGTGCCATATCTCTGCCCCTGCTACCAGCCTCGAGGTGGCTTCTGTTTGTCCTTGGTTGTACAGCTTCGGTTCAGGAAGATGTCAGGCGATTGTCAGTGATGGCTGTTTTGCAGCTTAGTTGTAATTTTGATGTGGTCATGAGAGAAGGTAAGCGCAGCATTTACCTGCTCCGCCATCTTTACTGTTACCTGAATCTCTTGCTGATGTCCAGTGCCTACTTGGTTAGATGTGTTAAGGATCCGAAGTACATAGTTCAGCTTCTCAGATAAACAGTAGTTGATACAGTGCAATATGTTTGTTTCTGGTATTTTATATGTAGAGAGGGAACTAGGGCACAGAGAAGAGACAGTTTGTGAGATATCTCCAATGAATGGGGCAGAAGCCAGGATTTTCATGTGAGTTTCAGGATTTCCACACAATAACTGGCTCTGTAGGCATCCTGAGTAAAAAAGGAATCATTGTTATGTTTCTATAGCAACTTTGTTCATTTAATTAATGGAAATTTATAATACCTTATAAAAAGCAATGATGGCTACGGTTCTATAATAATAGGCTTAGGTCTCTGGAGCATCTGTGAAAGGCAGGCCAGCTGGTCTCTTCAGCTGAAAGAGAAGGCATGATGTTCGAGGATGCAACAGAATTGAGTCCTGCTGCTGCTTTTCGAAGATTTATGGGGAAGCTGTAGCAGGCAATCACAAAAGAATGTGTGCAGAGGTTGGAGGAAAACAGTAGGTCGGCAGCAGGCACACACAGAAGTGTTTAGCTTATTAAAATAATTTAAAAATACATGATCATGTATTAAAATCCCAGACCACAAAGAAATTCTAAGAAGGGAAATGCTTCTGGGATCCCCAGTCTATAAATGGGAATGATAAAAGCAATCCTTCATCTAGTTGGGTAGTTGTGAGAATTTAATGAAATAATGCAGAGATAATAGGAGAGTTCAGTAAATATTAGCTATTATATTTAGTGATTGATTTCTTTTTGTTTTTGGTTTAAAAGAGCACTGCTTCTGGAAAATGATGTCCGTTTTCACTGAACATTGGTAGCTAGACATAATCTGGTTTTCGAAATTTGGAGCTTGTTTGCTCACAATGTCAGTATGTCTAGTTGATACAGAAACCAATCCAGAATATCATCCAGATGTTTAGTTTACATGCCACAGAGACTAAGAATATCTCTTCACTCTGACAGTGTCACTCCAAGAAAACATGGTAGCACAATGTAATTTTACATTGAAATCTATCTCCTCTTCTACACCCCTCCCCTTTTGCTTTACAAAAAAAATAAATATGTTTTCTATGATGAGATTGCCAGCTATATTTGACCAGCAGGGGGCAGGTGTTGTATACTTGTCTTTCTGATTAATCCAAAGCTGTGAAATACTAGCCTGAATTATAAAAGTATGTCTTCTATTACCCATCATAGTAAAAAAATGATTATTTTGAAAAACTCAGCAACTGAAAACAGACACCTCACATGCTTTTAAAGCAACTTTCATTTCATCATAACATTTATATACTTTATCAATTCTATGAAGCATATAGTTTCACATTATAATATCCCTGAAATCAGGATGTATCTTACAATTGATAGTGAATTAGACTCAATAACATATGGTGGTTATTCAATTTAGGATTAGTGTATTAAGGCTGTAAGCTCACACTCCACTGAAGCATGACACAGAATAAAAATGAATTTGGATAGCTGAAGGCAAAAGTGTGTAACAAGTGATTCATTTCTTATCCTAAATAAAAAGAATTTATTCAATGAGACACAGGAGAAAGTATATGAAGACTGCACTTGGTGCATTTAGCCTCTCAAAGATGTTTGTGATTCAGAATCAAATGACATTAAATTTTCATTCAGGTTATAGTAACATTTAAATACTTCTCAGTTGATATGTAAAGCAATGCAAATCTGAAAGTTAATTTTCTGTACCCTCTTGAAATACATTCTCTACCTGTTCAGAATCCTTAAGTAGAACTTACTAAAGTTTGAACTCCCCTCTCTTGTGATTTCACTTTGGTTATAATAAGATGAAATCCAGTCCAGTGTAGAATTGATATCTCAACTTATTTATAGACCTCATTCTCAATCCATCCTTGGTGGTAGGGGTCAGAAATTCCATTACCAGCTAGAGAAACTATTGGGTTGTCAGAAAAGTCATGACATATTTTTTCTATGGTTTTCATTGCAAAAATGCATCATGACTTTTCCAACAACCCAATATTTGGGGCATTTTGGGAGGCTGTGGAAGGGGCAGAGCCAAGGTGAAAGTGCTGAGCCCAAACACAAACAGTAGGTGTGGCCCGTGATACTTTGATAGAAAAGTTGACCCAGGCAGAACACTGTTCGTTTTCAGATATTAGAGAATATGTTGGAAATAAATACAACTAGAGGAGAGGGGGCTTGTTCCAGGGGTAAGTGCTTGGGTTATAGTTCACACTGTTTTTATTTACATTCATTGGCCTTAAATAAATCACTTAAGCTCTCTGAGCCTCAGTTTCCACATCTGTAAAATAAGCATTGGGTGGCTCCTTTAAGCCTCCATAGCATTTACTTTTACCTCTCCTGGGGCAGTGCCATTTCTACCTCATTTCATACCCCCCTAATAGACTGTAAACTTTTGGGGAAGCACATGATTCTCTTGCTTTTGTGCACCCCACCCCCAGTAGCTGGAATGATGCCTTAGTAAAGGCAGGCACTCACCAAAGATTCATTGCCTTGAATTGAACTATTACAATAGATCAGGGTCGGCAAACTTTTGAGACGGAAGAGCTGCCAGAGGCCAGCAAACTGGCTCATGAGCCGCAGGCTCTGAAGCAAAATTGAAAATGAAAATAAAACTATCGGGCCAGCCGAGTGGCTCAGTTGGTTAAGACCTCACTCAAGCGTGCGAGCTCTGAGCAACAGCAGTTTGATGCCTGGCCCGAGCTGAGCTGCTAACAGGCATCAGGATGACTCAACTAAAAAAAAAAGAAAAGAAAACTACCATTTCATATATAAAAATTTTTAAAGATATTATTCACATAATGGTGATTATGTAAAAATGTATTTATGGCTCTCAAATAATTTTTAAATTGTTGTGAGGGACAGGATTGTCTCTTCCAGGGATCGGCAAAGTTTTGAGACTGAACGTACCCAAAAGAGCCACGTGGCTCGGGAGCCACAGTTTGCCGACCCCTGAACTAGATGATAGCTAAGGTACATTGCTCTAATATTCTATTATGATGTTTTTAAAGCAAGGGGGACTCACTATGGCTGAATGACTTCTAGATTTAGCTGGGTTACTGTCGTATTGCCAAGTCAGTATGCAGAGGTTGGAAATATGGGGAAAGAAACTCTAGTTAACAAGTTACCCCACAAGACACCTAGCAAGTCCAATTGATTGCAGGTTTAGCCATGCACATGTGAGCACCCAAACAATCTTCAAAATTCAGCAAAAGAGAAGGGGCATGATGAAGGGAGGGAAGAGAAATAACACAGTGTTGAACAAACCCTTCAAAAATAATACGTAGAGTTTGGGCCTGTCAAATGCTGGGTGTTGAACCCCAAGTTGCCGAGATGTTTCTTGATGATGGTGAGAATACTCTGGTTATATTTTCAGATATGGAACCTCCTAGAATCAAGTGCCCAAGTGTGAAGGAACGCATTGCTGAACCCAATAAGCTGACAGTCCGAGTGTCCTGGGATACCCCCGAGGGGAGAGACACAGCAGATGGCATTCTAACTGAGTAAGTGAAACTTGGCAGCTAGAATGATGTTGCCTCTCTTGTGTGAGATGTTTACTACCCAGAGTGGGGCAGTATATCTATGCTAGTCCATTGATTCTTTCAGTCTTGGTATAGCACTCTTTCAGCTATTCCTCATTCCTGCTTTCTTTTCCTCCATTGTCGTCTTCACCATCTGACACACTGTTTGTCTCCACTGCAATATATTTATGGTCACATTCCCAGTGCCCAGAACCATGCCTAGCACATAGTTGGTATTCAGTAAATATTTGTTGAAGGAAAGAAGAGAAGTAGAAAGGGTGCTGGAAAGAAGGTAAGAGGAGGGGCAGAAGGAGGAAGAGGAAGCCATCTGCTTAATTTGAGGATAGAATCACCCCTACTGCCTGCCTGCCCAGGGGGCTCCTACTCATCTCCCTGGCCTTATTAAGCCATCATTCCCCGGAAAACCTCTTTGTCTCCCAGGTGGAACCAGGTGCTGCCTCCTTTGTGCTCCGTGAGTATGGTTTAGTGCAGACCTTTTCCACCCCTTGATTTTTGGCACCTGCTTCTTTTAAAACTTTTGCTTTTTAATTTATTACAGAAAACTTGTGGTCATATTAAACACAGAAGAAGCTTATTCAAAAGGAGTAGGTGTTTTCTGCCTTCTTCCCCACTCCAACCTCATTCTCCTGGACCAACTGCATTAATAGTTTGATGTACATCCAAAAATGTTTTTTTTTTGGTTTATTTTTTAAGATTTTACTGGGGAATTGGGGGAGGGGAACAGCGTTGGGAATCAGGGAAGGGGAATAGACAAGTTGCTGTCCTTTTGTTCTTCAGTCTAGTTGTGCAGGACGTCGCTTCACTGGCCCATGTTGGTATTGTGATCATTGCACTCTTCCCGGGTGAGGCAGTTACTCGCCGGCCATTGGATGGCCACTCACGGGGGCTCACAGCAGCCCAGCTCCAGGTCGAACTGTTGTTCACCATCTTAGCTGTAGAGGGTGCAGCATTACTGGCCCTCGTGGGATCCGAACCGGGGCCCTGCTGCTCAGAGCTAGCGTCCCAAGCCAACACCTAACCAACGCGCCACTCGGCCAGTCCGACTTCCTTAACTTTTGGTGCCACAATTTCCTCCTTTGTGAAATGGAGATAGTAATATCTACCTCATAAGGTAGTTGTGAGGATGAAATAACTAATATACGTAAAATGCCTAGAACCACGCCTGACATATATAAGGTTTATGTAAGTGCAAAAAACAACAGAAGCAGCAACAATAATAACAATAATATTATTAGGATCACCAAGGAATCACAGTGAACGTGCCTTTTGCTCAGGAAAGGTCTCCACTAGAGGCCCAGATCGAAAATGAAAGTTCTAGCACCCCCTGCAGGCACAAATTGCCAATGACTGTTTGGACTACACACTCTAATGATTTCCCAGAAAATTCCCTCATCTTCCCAACAGCCAGGCAATTCAGGTCGTCCGTGTCTTCCCCCCCACCCCGATACAAAGGTGGGATTGGAGGAAGATTTGTTGGATCCTGGGTTGTTAGCTTCCGCAACTTCTGTTCTACCTTCCAGCAAGAAAAGCGAATCTAAACTGCCCAGGAATTGAGGACTTCCATTTTCTGCTCTCAAACTGCTCTTCCAAAACAAAGTAAAGCTCAGGATATTCTATCCTTCAAGAAATCTTTGTTCTAGTCAAACTAGCCTAATGGTTGCCACTGTATATCACTGCTTCCTGTGTAGATTTGGTCCTCAACAAATGCCTGCAATGATCGTTGTTGATCATTAGGTCCACAATGGCCTAAGTGTTATTAGAACCCTAACAATCATCTTTACTGTTTCTGTCCCCCCGCTTTAAGCGTCATCCTAAAAGGCCTCCCCCCAGGCTCGAATTTTCCAGAAGGCGACCACAAGATCCAGTACACAGTCTATGACAGAGCCGAGAACAAGGGCACTTGCAAATTTCGAGTTAAAGTAAGAGGTAAGACTGCTTATTGGCTTTTCCCCCTCCAAGAGCAAAGGGAAACGGGAACTCAAGCAAGAACCCTCTGTGAGTGCCCACTGCCATATGGACACTTCCGAGGTTGGATTCACCTCCAATGAGAGTGGGGAAGTGTGCTATCTTAATGCCTGAGTTTCACAATACAAATCTGGATAGGGTTCAGTACTGGCATATTACTTAAGGCGTTCGAGAGAGCACGAAGCTAGTCTCGCATGAGCCTGCCCCTGGCTGTCCTAGAAGAATATTGATAACTTTTCTATCCCTGAGCTTGGGTGACCAGCTAAAGCCTGCAAATCCTTCTATGAAGGAGGTTAGGAGCCACCCCACACACCATCCCCCTCTCCCCACTCCCAGCTTGGGCCACCAGACCATGTTCTTGGTGTTCTAGTATATTCTACCTGGTAAAAAAAAGTATTTTTAAGGTTTACTTTATGCCTCATGATTTGGGCAGCTAATTACTAACCATCTTTACTCTTTACTCTTCTGGGTTCAACCTCATATAAAACACAGAGGGCTAAACCGGTTGATCTTAGTGGTCTCACTGGTATAAATAGTGACCATTCTAAGGCCCACGCCCTGGCCAGATAGCCATCTCTGCCCCCTCACTCATTTCACGGGCTGATGTAGAAGCCTGAGTATAAAGCTGCTGCCTCTGAGCCCTCGCTTCTCCTGGTTACTCGGTGGAGGGGAGCTCAGCATTGAGACCCATCTGGGCTTGTGTCCCTACAGTCAAACGCTGCGGAAAACTCAATGCCCCAGAGAATGGTTACATGAAGTGCTCCAGTGACGGCGATAATTACGGAGCCACCTGTGAGTTCTCCTGCATAGGTGGCTATGAGCTACAGGGTAGCCCCGCCCGAGTTTGTCAATCCAACCTGGCTTGGTCCGGCACGGAGCCCACCTGTGCAGGTATGTGTGCAACCATCTCTAGCCAGCAGCAGAACCTGAGGACCCCTGGGTTCTGGCTTCCATCCAGCACAGGGAGGAAGGGGTTCACTCTATGCACTTTGAAAGGTTCAATGTCATCCGTCTTCACCTGATAGGTGAAAATAGTCCCTGGGTCCCTGCTGCAACTCGTCTCACCACCCTCCTCCTTTGCCTCTGCCTACCTTCTGATCTCTCTATTGTGTCCTCTTAAGGAAGAAACTGGAGGTGGGAACCCACGACCAGCCTTTAGCGACATTATGAATCAGCAATGTCTTCCCTAGTTATCCTGTTCCTCCCTTCTACAAATGTAAACATCTTTTGTACAAAGCCAATATATCGCATGTCCAGGCAATATAATGCCTGCTTTGAAAGTCATGCAGACCTTGGGAATTCAGAATCTTTCCTTCTGTGTCAAATGCAGAAGATAATACCTGCTACTGGAGTTGTAGGGATTAAATTACATCATCCACTGAGCAGTGGAATACAGCAGTGCCTGGCTCAGGGTAAGCCCTCAATGCATGTCGGGTATTATTACTGAGGAACAAAACTTGGGCTGGGTAGAGATAATAGTGTGAAATTTTCTAGCCAGAAAATTCTGGACCTATCTTCTTATTTATATACTCCTCTTTTTGTCTCATTTCCTGGTCCTTTCTCATCTTTATGCTCTCCCTTTAATCCCAGCCATTCAGAGTTAGGAGAGAGAGAGAGAGAAAGGAAGAAAGAAATATGTGCACCATCAACTGAAGGCCTGAGTCTTCAGTTTCACACATTAAAGTAGAAAGAACATACCACTTCCCTCCCCCATCTCATTTTGTGAGGTTGGGAGAATAATGCCCCCACCCCCAAGATATCCATACCCTAATTGCCAGAGCTGTGAAGATATTACTGTGTTTCCCTGAAACTAAGACTGGGTCTTATATTAATTTTTGCTCCAAAAGACGCATTTTATTCATTTATTCATGTATAAAAATCTACATTTATTCAAACAGTCATGTCTGGCTGACGATTTTAATGGGCTTATTTTGGGGTAGGGATTATATTACGAGCACCCTGAAAATCATGCTAGGGCTTATTTTCCAGTTAGGTCTTATTTTCAGGGAAACAATACCTGACATGGCACAAGGGATGTTGCAGATGTAATTAAGTTAAGGATTTTGAGGTGGGGAGAATGTCTTTGTTTATCCAGGTGAGCACAGTGTAATCACAAGGGTTCTTCTTATAAGAGGGAGGCAGAACTGCTGTCAGAGCCAGACAAAAAGATGATGGAAGCAGAGTTCAGAGAGACGAGAGATTTGAAGGGGCTATCCTGCTAGCTTTGAAGATAGAGGAAGGGCCACGAGCCAAGGAATGAAGGTGGCCTCTAGGTGCTTTATAGGGCAAGGAAACAGATTGTCCTCAAGAGCATCTGGGGGACCCCAGCCCTGCCAGCACCTTGACTCTAGCCCAGTGAAACCCATTTCAAACTTCCGACTTCCAGGACTGTATGAGAATAAATTTGCGTGTGTTAAGCCACTAAGTTTGTGGTGGTTTGTGACGCCAGCAAGAGGAAACTAACACACTTCCCTACTCTTCTATCAGTGCTGCTTGGGACCACCTCCTGAATAACTACATACAATTGAATCTTTATCTCAGGGTCCACCTCTTAACACATACAGTTCTGTGTGTCAACACAGGCTATGTTGAACCAGAACAAATAGAGTATTCCTGATCCATCTGGCCCTTTCTACTTATAGCCATGAATGTCAATGTGGGCGTCAGAACAGCAGCTGCACTTCTGGATCAGTTTTATGAGAAACGGAGACTCCTCATTGTGTCCACACCCACAGCCCGAAACCTCCTCTACAGGCTGCAGCTGGGAATGCTACAGGTGAGTCCATGGGGTAGGCCCAAAGTGGGAAGGGGACCTCTAACAGGAAGAAGGGCCTGGTCATTCAATTAAAATAAAGGCCGGCTTCAGTGCCTAAATCCATTTACTGAGAGCTTCAGGAACTGGCATTTTAGAGTTAGCATTTTTCATTTCTGGTTCTGGGGCATAACCTGATTAACATCGACTCCCCAGTGCTAACCCAATCGTTTTCCAATTAATAAGGTTTGTTTTTCTTCACTAATCGGCCTCATTGACATGCTGTCTGGCCCTAGCCAAAGAATAATTGTCTTTGCTGAACCCGTTCAGGATATGCCTGGGCTGGAGGTGATCCATCCATGGCTAGCCCAAAAGGTTGGCTCAAGGGATGAGGGGAGTCCAAGGATCCTTAGGCCCCAGGTCCTGCCCCAGGGAACTTGCCCAACTCTCACAGAATGCATCAGTGATGCATCAGTGATGACCATCTTTAGAACAGTGGTTCTTAAAGTGAGGTCCTTGAACCAGCAGCATCAGCACCAGCTGAGAGCTCCTTAAAAATGCAAATTCTCAAGCCCCATTCCAGAACTACTGGATCAGAATCTACATTTTAATTAAATCAAGTGATTCCTAAGCACCTTAAAGTTTGAGGAACACTTTTCTAGGAAATGTGCCCTTCTCAGCTGTGTAAATTTTATAGCTACTAAATGAGGCAACTGGAAACTGAAAGGCTCGAACTAGAACTTGCTTGATTTTTGTCCTGAAGCTTGTTTGCAATAAAAGTGGCCAACCTGACTGAATGCTAAAGAGGCAGGATGTGTGCTGGGTCCTGGACACAGTGCTTCACTTTTTGTGACCAATACTTCATTTATTACAATGAATAGAACTAAGTGTTTAGAACAATCTTGGTTTAATCAAAGGCTACAATTTTACTTTTCATTTCAGCATTAATACAATGAATAGTAAGTTTTTTTTTATTCTCTCCATGTAATTGAAGGACTTCCCAGGAACTCTGAACAACCATACAACATTGTTCAGGCTCCTTCGATAGGAAACCAATTCACTGTGTCTTAATCTCCACTCCCTGCCACCTTACCTCCATTCTTGTAACCCCTTGTCCCAGCTAGGGAACTTGCTTTTCAAGTAACACAAGCTCATGCCACCGCATTGTGTGGCAAATTGGCTTTGTAGGCTATCTTCCACGATCGTATATTTCCTGACCTCTTCTTATCCCATAGAAAACTGATTTAGCCAAACAACTTACTTGCTTTTCCTCTATGTTGGCAAACGATGGCTTTTGTAGGTAAAATTTTATTGGAACACAGCCACACTCGTTCATTTGCGCATTGTTTATGGCTGCTTTTGAACCACAGTAGCACAAGTGGTTAAGACAGAGAACATCCAGCCCCGCAAAGCCTAACATATTTACTATCTGGCCCTTTACAGAAGAGGTCACTTGACCCCTGCCCTTGTCTGTTACCTTCGGGTACTAGCTAAATTACCAATCAACTAGTTGGGTAAGATATTTGGTATCAAGGTGTTTGTATGTGACCTTCCCCAACTCAATATGTTTACATTTACGTTTTAACCAGAGCCTTCAAGGGAAGGTTTGATTGACTTTGGGGTTTCCATTAGAATAATAAAGTGTATTTTTACCCTTTGTAACTTTTTCTTAAACCAATTCTGTCATCCCCCTATAGGGATGTTTCAGTGGAATTGTAGTAAAAGAAAAAAAAATTGGTGTTCTAATAGTTCAGAGCTTCAAATTTCTTTCCCATTTAGGCAGATCTGTCTTGTTACTTTTTTTTTCCCAGTGCCATTGCCGCTCCTGCCGAGAACTCCTGGCACATGTCTGAGTGGGCCACTTTCCCAGGAATCTTGCCAAGGACCCGCTCAGGGGACTGGCATCTTTTATCCTTGTTTCCCTGCCACATTTGGGTGTGGGGAACATACAGCAGGTGATGTGGAAGGTGGACACAAGGGCAGATAAGGGGACTCTGGAAATATTCTTCTCTCCTTTCAAAGACAAATTTAGAATCCTCTGGGGGTGGATTTGGACACTTTCTAGGAAATTTGGCTCATGCAAAATCTCACCCCATCTGGAAAGACAGAGACTGCCATTTTGCTTAGGTTTCAAAATCTGTTGCCAAGCCATTTGTGACTGATTCCTCCAGGAAGGTACTAAGATTTTATAGCCAATGGTTTCACCCCAATTTCTTAACTGTTTTCAGGACAGTGTGGAGTGGGCAAATAAACTTTCCAAAACAGACCAAGGCTGTTTCCATCAGTCTGTATTAGCATGGAATTCTTTTTCTTTGGCCATGCTTTCACCTCCCTTTTGGTTTATTTTCAGCAAGCGCAGTGTAGCCTGGATCTTCGGCACATCACTGTGGTCGAGCTGGTAGGAGTGTTCCCGACCCTCATCGGCAGGATAGGAGCAAAAATTATGCCTCCAGCCCTAGCTCTGCAGCTCAGGTAGGGGGACGTACTGTCCTTAAATTTTATCCCCTATAAATGTACTTTGTTTTGGATCAGGCTCCCTGATTTCCTTTTGTTCAGTATTGATTCTAGGTAAACGTCATTTATTTGCTTTTATTCTGGGAGTATTATAACCATGTTAATTGGCATGTTGCTGCTTATCCAAATATATCATACAGTAGGTAATTACCAGTGTTTTCTTCTTTCTCCCTCCAATCAAGTGTTTTTGCTTTGTCTTAGTTCTTCTCTCCATCTCCCCCCTCCCCCCACCCCCCACTTTGTGGGAGTGGGATGGGTGGAGGAAAGCATGCAAAAAGGACTTAAGTAATCCTTGGTCTTATTAAGAGAGGAGGCATCCAACTAGCCTTTCCAGATGTGGCCTCTTTTTCCTCCATGCTTCCAGGACACTTGTCAATACCCCCATTTTAACAATTACATTTTATTTTGGTAACACTTACAAAGCCAGACGTGGTGTTCAGACTCTGAGTAATGGTGCGTTAAAGAAGCAGAATTCAACAGCCAAAAGGTAATTTCTGAACAACCCACATTTTTACTTGCATCTCTTGATCATTGTGAAAAGAATAATCAGGCTAAAGCAAGATTCCTGCAAATCTTCCTTCCTCACTCATCTTTTTCTTTCACACACTGTTGCAGATCTCTGTTCTACATAGTCTTTCAGGGTCCTAGGCTAATGGTGGTTCTACCATCTTGTAGTGTCAACATCCAGAGCACGAGGCTTCCACATTTCTTCAAAAGGGGAAGAGAGAGCGTAAAAACAAACCATACCATTCTTGTATGCTTCACTTTGGAAGCATAAAATTGCTCCCTCTCCTGGTCCATTGGCCAGAACTTGTCACAGGATTGCGACTGAACTTCAAGGGAGGCTGGAAAATGCAGTCTTTTTGTATGCCCAGGAAGAAGGAAATGAAATAGGACTTGGTGAACCTTATCACAGATGTTCAAAGAGGGTCACAGAAATTCCTTGAGAGATTATGTGATAGAAATGTGTCCTTAGCAAACGATGCTATAGATCGACACAGTAGCTTCTTTCTCTAATTTCCCTCTATTCCATTTGTCTTTTGACCATCCCATTCTTGATTTATACCTCTCTCTACCTAACAGGAGTCTGCCCCATCCATCACACCAAGGTCAAAAATTCAGTGGGTCAGGGATGGGGAACAAATAAACAAAAAAAGGATGCCTGAATTCTCTTCAGTTGGCTGAAGGAGGAAGAAGGCTGGGTATACTCATAAGCTTTCATTTGTTATTTATTATTTTTGTCCTATTGCATTTGCACCTAGCATCTCCCTAGGGTATAACACTTTTGAGGTCAGTACCAGATCCTTTCAGCATTTGGTATCTGTTTCTAGCATAGTCCTGGCACCATATTGGTGCTAAGTAAATGGAGTAAATGACTCTAAATTGAAACTGCATTACTATTTATAGGGGTGGTAGTAACCTTTAAGAGTGTATTTACAATTCTAACACCACAAGCTGGAAGACCACAAAATTCAAAAGAGCTTTGAGTTTTGATGTTGACATCAGAAAACTTATAATGGAAATTCACACAGTAGGTTTTATGAAGCTGTTGCTTGTTTAGAACTACCTGCTCATACCCTACATGAAAAATTTTTTTAAAAACCTGTTGCAGAATTTGCTAAACGTTTTTCTTTGAATTGCAGATTATATATATATATATATATATATATATATATATATATAAAATATGGAGGGTATCTTTATAAAATCTTTTTTATTATTATTTTTTATTGTGAAATAAACATTTTTTAGAATTAGTTTCAGCTGTACAGCACCATGCAATAGTTTTACTTTTTACCCTTCGAGATGACAACCCCCTATCTTTATAAAATCTTGATGAGATTTTAAACTGTTTACATTGGAAGATTTAAGAAAAAAAACTTCTGTCTTTCAAGTTGTATACTTTGGGGTACTATAGATCTCTGTAAACTGAGGATGATTTAAGCAACAAATAAGTTACATAAGTGAATTATGCAGTGATTGTCAAAGTTTAGTCTGCATCAGAATTCCCTGCAGTGCAGTTAAAACACATTGTTGGGCCCCATCCCCAGAGTTTCTGATTCAGTAGGTCTAGGATGGGGCCTGAGAATTTCCATTTATAGCACATTCCCAGGTGTTGCTGATGCTGCTGGTCTGGGGACCACACTGTGAGAGCCACTGGTCTAGTGCTTTACCCAAGACTTCAGATTTGAACTGGAAATTTTGCACAGCAGCCTATAAAAGGAGGCTCAATCATTATTGTGTAGCAGAAGGTAGTCCAGGAAAATGTCATGCAGCGGCACGACCCCTCATATGAATTACCTAATTAGTCTGTGCCAGACCTCATGTCCCCTTTATCAGATCTATCAGTGGGACTTGGCAGATGGAGGTTTTATTTTTTCCCCCCGCTGAATTCCATCCTAGAGTCAAATGCAGAAGAAAAGAGTTACTTTAGGCAAAGAATGGGAAGCATGAGAGGGAGAAGCAGGAATGCCTGGAAGAGGTAAAAATTCTCTTGTCTTGTTGGAATACTATTTCTGAATAGCACTGAAGCCATGATAAAATGGTTGAAGGGCAGCATCAGAAAGGAAAGACTGGGTGCCTGGTTTTGCAAGGTTAGCACCTACCTGCTTTCTTGCTCTTATGTCTTGTAGATCTGGACGTATGGACTAATTTATGCTTCTGAGAATAATTTTCCAGCAATCTCAAGGATGATAGGGAACAAGAAGGCTATAATTTGTATATCCATATTATATTTTAAGGTATAATTGACATGTAACATTAGTTTCAGGTGTACAACATAATTATTCAATATTTGTGTATACTGGGGGTGCCAAAAATGTATACAAGTGGACATTTTGGTCAACGTTGCTCAAGCCATAGTTTGCGGTAATCAGAAGTGTCTGGACACTGAGGGTAACCACTTTGAGCTCCTCTTGTAATTGCAGGAGTCAAACGTTATTTGTATTCATCTTTTGTTATCGGTATATATTGAGCATTACGATTTTAATAGTGTTTTCCTTTCTTAAAATGTGTACACATTTTTTTGGCACCCTCTGTATTGTGAAAGGATCATGATATGTCTATTTAACATCTGTCACCATGCATAGTTGCAAACTTTTTTTTCTTATAATGAGACCTTTTAAGATTTGCTCTCATAGCCATTTTAAATATGAGATACAGCCTTTTAACTATAATTTCCATGCTATACATTATATACCCATGACCTATTTATTTTATAACAAGAAGTTTGTAACTTTTGGTCACTTCACACATTTTGCCCACCCCCCACCTTCCGCCTCTGGCTACTATCAATCTGTTATCTGTATCTATGAAATTGTGGGGGTTTTTTGGTTTGTTTTAAGATTCCGCATATAAGATCACGCGATGTTTGTCATTCTCTTATTTTTTTTCACTTAGCATAATGCCCTCAAGGTCTATCTATCTTGTCACAAATGGCAATATTTCATTCTTCATTATAGCTTTAGAATATTCCTCTATGTGTGTGTGTGTGTGTGTGTGTGTGTGTGTGTGTGTGTGTAAAAAACATTTTCTTTACCCATTCATCTATCTACAGGTACTTAGGCTGTCTCCATATCTTAACTATTGTAAGTAATGTTGCAATGAACAGGGGGGGGTACATGTAACTTTCTTTTTTTTTTAATTTGTTTATAAAGATTTTATTGGGGAATTGGGGGAGGGGAACAGTGTTGGGGAATCAGGGAAGGGGAACAGACAACTTGCTGTCCTTTTGTTCTTCAGTCTAATTGTGGAGGATGTCGCTTCACTGGCCCATGTTGGTATTATCATTGCGCTCTTCCCAGGCGAGGCAGATCAGTCACCAGCCTCTGGACGGCTGCTCACGGTGGCTGCTGGCCGCTCACGCTGGCTGCCGGCTACACATGGTAGCCCATGGCAACCCACTGCAGCAGGGGCTGCAGCCTACGCCATCGCCAGCGACTCACGGCAGCCCAGCTCCAGGTCGAGCTGTTGTTCAGTATCTTAGCTGTAGAGGGCAGTGTCACCGGCCCTCATATGTGGGATCCGAACCGGGGCCCTCTGTCATCCCAAGCCAGTTCTTAACCAATGTGCCACTCGGCCTGCCCCCTACTCTATATCTTTTGATTGAGGAATTTAGTCTACTTACATTTAAAGTAATTAATGATAGGTATGTACTTATTGCCACTTTGTTTATTGTTTTCTGGCTGTTTTGTTGTTCCTCTGTTGTTCTTTGTGTGCTGCATTTCTTTGTGGTTTGATGACTATCTTTAATGGTAAGCTTAGATTCTTTTCTCATTACTTTTTGTGTATCTAGTATAGGTTTTTGCATTGTGGTTACCATGAGCTTACATAAAATAACTTATACTTATAATGGCCTACTTTAACTTGATAACTTAAATTTGAACACACTATAAAGCTTTGCATTTTTACTCTCCCCTCCATGTTCTGTTTTTGAGTTAAAATTTGTCTTGTATAATCTTTCACTAATTATTGTAGTTATAGCTATTTTACTAGTTTTGTCTTTTAAACCTCATACTGGCTTTATAAGTAATTAATGCACTACATTTACTATATATTTATTTTTAGAAGTGAGATTTATAGTTTCATAAGGTTTCTTGTTACTAGTTAGCACTCTTTCTTTTTAGCTTAAAGAAGTCCCTATAACATTGCTTGTAAGGCTGACTTAGTGGTGATGAATTCCTTTAGCTTTTACTGATTCAAAACCTCTTATCTTCCCTTCAGTTCTGCATAACTTTGGCACGTAAAGTATTCTTTTTTTTAAGATTTTTATTGGGGTATTGGGGGGAAAGGGAACAGTGCTGGGGAACTGGGGGAAGGGGAACAGACAAGTTGCTGTCGTTTTTGTTCTTCAGTCTAGTTTTGGAGGACGTTGCTTCACTGGCCCAAGTTGGCACCATCATTGCGCTCTTCCCGGGTGAGGCAGATCAGTCGCCGGCTTCTGGACGGCTGCTCACTGC